TCTCACAAAAACGTTAATTTTTTGTGACATATTTCATTAACTATCCTTTTTTGCATATTGTTGGGAGAGTTAACAAATTATTAATATGAGATTGTTATGTTATTCGCACGTGGAAACAGTATTTTAGGAGGAATTTTAACTTCTTCTGTTTATCACAGTTAAAAGTTCTTCATTTTTCAGAGAATTTCAGTTACTAGTATTTTAATATGCTTGGTATATTTTAAAATTTTATTATTTTTACATATATTAAAGTATTCATGTAAAGGTAAAAAAATGATACAAAAACCTAAAGTTTTGATCGTTTAAAGAGAGAAAAAAAACATTTTTACTGAATTTTTACTCGAATCTTTTCTTAGAACCCTCAGCTTTCAAAAGCTAGAAGATTGCCATTTGTCTAGAAAATCATATTTATTTGATATATTTTCAAACTTTAGTCCATTGTAATTATTAATTTCAGTTACCACACAAACTTCCGTAAGTCTTCGATTGTATTAAAATGCCTTTTAGATTCATTGTTTTAAAGTAATTTTGAGAAGCAATAAAGGAGATATTTTCATACGACGCCATTTCGCCAAAAAATAGTCCCTGTTAGATTTAATAATCAGTTTACATATACCACTACTATTTCAAATTAAACAGTTTTTTAAAAAAAGAAAGTAAAATTTGAACTTTAAAATCTTTAACATATAAATATAAGAGACATGTGCGCATATATATTCTGAGTATTTCATTTAGCCTAAAACCAGACAAGAATCCCCTTAAATGGTGTTTGCAATTGATAACGGTTGTTATAGCACCTTTAAAAATAGCATCACAAGCGATGTTTTCTTTTCCACCAGACTATGTGGAAATATAATCATTATGTAACAAAATTTATATCCTTAAACACCTTAAATACCTCAAAACCTGGAGTAAAAATATATATTTTTTACATTTTGCATTTAAATAAACACGACTGATGAAGGCCGGTAACACGGTTGAAATATTTCGAAAAGTGTTTTAAAGTTTTTTTTTATTTTACATAATATATATCAAAAATATGATCTACATGCACAAAAACTTTCTGTTAGATATTGTCTTAGTTGGTGATGCAGCAAACCAAACTGAAATGAGCGCTGTACTTTGATTTACTATAGTGAAAACTTTGGAACTTCTATTATCTATAGAAGAAAATTGAAACTTTGATTTTCTTTAATTAGTTATAAATTTGTAATTTTGATTTACTATAATAAAAACTTTGATTTACTAAAAGTGAAAACATTAAAACTCTAATAAACTTCATTAAAAACTTTTATAAATTTGATCTACCGTAGTGAAAACATTGAAATTTCGATTTTCTAATCTAAAATCTTTGAATAAGTACACACCCGTGGAATTATGATTTGGATACCCATCATTTATATTTCATGATATTTCATGGTCCGGTCAAAATTCATAAAAGCTTCACAGAACTTTTTATAAACACGACCCCTCCCCTATAAAATCAAAGTACAAGAAATATTTTTTAAGGTTGTCACTCGCGTAGATAAACCAATAAAAGATAAGCAACATTTATTCAAATGTATTTGAATTTAATACTGTTGTATTGTAAGTTTTTTTTTAAATGGAGAAAGGAAAATAATATACTATAAAATTATTTGAGTTATTTAGAATTAAAGCACCTGCTCAATCAATTTTACTAAATCTTTATTTTTACTTTATTGGATTTACTATTGTTAACGATAGTTTACTATACTTAACTATTTATGTAGTTTTACTATAATTTTTTTTTTGTTAGGTACGACATGATTTTTTTTTGTGATCAATAAATATATAAATTTTTCAATGTGTGGCACTGTAGCTCTCTGACCGTCCATTCCATTTTTTAAGACACCGAGCTACGGATATACGGCGGACTATATGTTCACATAGTCAGAAATTAAATGACAGCACAAGAGTAGGTGAAAGGTTATTTTGATCATGACCCCCTTGCTGAAAATCAGCACTTAGTAAATAAACTCTTTCCCCAGTGCGTTTCTACAAGATATGTTAATTATCATATAATATTGAAACATTTTATTTAAAAAAAGAAATCCTATTGACAAAGTCTGAATAACAAAACTCGATAAGCAAGAAAATTCATAAACATTCTTCTGACTTTATTCCAAATACAGTATAGTGGAGACCGGTTAATCTGGACACTTGCTTTACAGAGCACATCTGCTAGATTTATCATTTATCTTGATTATTGAAATATACCTTTTATAATTTGTCGACATAAAGTAACCCCCCCCCCTCCACAAATGTTGTACAGGAGGTGAAGCTTTAAGATTATTGATGTAGATCACTTTTGGAATCGATCGTCTACAGCTGGATATCCATTTTTATTGCTAAACTTTATTTTAAAATTCTTTTTCGGGAGAACCCTCTTCTTGTCTTAAATTCATTAATTCTAGCGTATTTTTGTATTGTGTAAATTATATACAACAATTACAAAATTCGTGAAAATTTTACTTTTCTTATAAATACCAAATACACGTGGAAGACTTTTTGCAGACATAAGGTGTAGCAAAAATTTGGTAAAACATTGTCAACTATCAGTCGCTTCGACACAATATATTTCATTCAAAGATTTCACACTTTGAATCTTCAGATAAGTTCCAGAATGTGAATACAGGTAATCATTAAACTCTACTAGTCTAATAGATTGATACTGACATTATATTAGTTTTTAGTATATAAAATGAATGAGCATTTTTTTAAATTATTTATTCTTATGTGACAAATGTGTGATACTTCCATCAAAATGTCAACACTTTATGTTCTAAAAATGTTCTCATGCTGCGGAGGAAAAACGTATAGTCACAAAAAGGATTTGATTCAGGCAGTATTCCAGGTTTTTTATTATTATTAAACACCCCGCTTGAAACGTCGGAGGGTATAAAGTGATCGGGATGTCCGTCTGTCTAGCTGCATGTCTGTCCGTTATGCTTTTAGGGTAATTCTCTCTTATCTGCAACCCCTCTTATACCACTGAATGACATTTACTGAGACTTTCATAGAATCTTTGTTACATAGTGCCATCATCTCCTGTTTCACTTTTTGATCGGACACAATATTTCGGGTTTCCCATAGCAGACTATAGACACTACTAATCCTTCTATAATATTGAAGGGTACCCATCTCTTGTCCACAACTCTTCCTATGCCACTGAATTGAATTTATGATACTTTCACAGATTCTTTATTACATAATGCCATTGTGCCATTGTGCACCTCCTATTTTACTTTTCAATCTGCAACTTACTTCGGGTCTCCCAGAGCAAAACATAGACTTTAATTTGCCATTATAATCACATGGGAGGTGTGGGGTATCATTTAGTAAGCTCAGTGCTCATAGTACTTCTAGTAATTATTATTTTTTTATTTTAGTTTTTGCTTTTTTTTTATTATTATTTTTGTATTTTCAAGAGGTTGTCTCAAAAGAATGATAAGAGAAAAATCTTAACATATTACAGAACGTCAGATTCTGTAATTGTGTGTTGTTATTTTTTTTTTATTCAATTCGTTTGAATAGTGAATATAATATTATTTACTCACAGGATAAAACAAATGTAAAAGCACAGAAAATATTTCCTTTATGTGTACTATTCTATTATTTTCAACTGGGTTATTAGAAAAACTTGTGTTTGTTCTGTTTATTCTAATATTAAGGAAATATTTTCAATTAAATTGTGAAATTTTAAAGATCTTAAAGAGCTTCCTCGTGATGAAAGTATATTCTTGTTTTTAATATAAAAAAAAATAAATACTTTCATCACTTAAACAAAGAGGAAACAAAATGACAGACTTTCCAAATGGATTGTTCAAGAACCCTCAAGTATACCTAAATGATTACATGATGTAGATTAATTAGAAATGCCATTGTTATGTTTTTATCACATAATCAAAGAGTAATTAGTTGTGCGATATTAAGTTAGTTAACAAGAACTTCAGTGGACAGCAGTGCTCGCCTGTCTAGGCCACAGGCCTTTACATTGCTTTACTCTGACTTTTAAAAAAGTTGGGTTGTAAAGATAGGATAAAGATATGGAACTCCTTACATAGGGAATCGACTTACCAATGAAATACTTTTAAATCAAATGATTTAAAATTCGTAATTTTTATTCACATCAATTCATATATAAACAATTTACATTACTACGAAAGTTCATTCCGAAATTTCGTATACTTCCCAAGATATGCTGGAATCATTTCTAAAATTGGTCTAATATTTAATGAAATAAGCTTAAGAAATAAATGCTGAACGCCCAAAATGTTATTTATTTCCACACGTACATGTACTCTTGATATTGACCTTAGGTAAACATAAAGCTATAGTGGACCTGTAAGGTAAACCAGCAAAGAAAAATCTATTCAGCCATGAAAACCCTTTAGCATAGCACAATTTTCAAAAACACATACACATTCATTTATTAGCAGCCATAAATCACTGTTAACAAATGCTGATGTCCTTAATGTCAATAGTTGTCAAAAAATGAGTATTTCATTTTAAAAACGTTTAATTTGCAGATATTCCTGTTTGCGGTTGCTGAATTTGTAGTGGTTGCAATAAATGGATTTAGCAGAAACTGCACTAGCAACTCGGCCTGCCGCTGTAGTCTTATTTGGAACACGAGCAAGTTGTACGCTGCCAATTGTTCAAATCTGGAAATCACACAAGTTCCGATAACTCAACCGGATGTTGTTGTCCTCCTGTTACAGCACAACAATATCACTTCTTTGACAACATCATTCTGTCCTTCACTTCATAATCTTGATCTATCTTACAACAAAATCAAAAACTTTTCGGACGAAGCGTTTGCAAATCTAAAAAGGTTAAAGACATTGAATTTAGAAGGAAATATTCTTGACCTTGACAAAAGTGTTTATCGGCCTAATGTCTTTCAAGACTTAAAAGCTTTACATGAACTTAATATCAAGAACTGTACAAATAAAACAATACTTGCTTTTCCACAGAAAATGTGGAGGAATCTCCGCTCACTTCAGATTCTTAGAATTGATGTCATTTCTCCTACACAATTTGGACGACCGTTCCGGCTCCTGGCATCTTTAAGAGAACTGGACGTATCAGGTGACACAGGTTTCTGCTCTGTAAGAGCGATGACAAAGAGCTTCCTCATAAATATGCCACATCTGGAAATCATTGACCTGTCTGCTTGTAACCTGACCTCATTTTCAGCAGATGCACTGATAACACAAAGAAACCTAACCATTCTGAATATTTCCTACAACGAGAGGCTTACTTTTGCAAGTTTTGAAAATCTTTCTCGTAGTTTACAATTTTCTAAAATAAAGGTTTTCAAAGCCAATAAAATCCACTGCACGTTTGGATTAGGAACTATGATACAAGTCAGTGACATCATGCTCTTTCAAAACACACCCCTTGAAGAACTATACTTAGATAACAACAGATTAGCCATCATTGAATCGAATGTTCTTAAGTTCTTACCTCATACACTTAAAACTCTTTCGCTTGTCAAAAACAGACTGACTATAGGTCGTTACTTACTGCAGTTTAAGTCTTTATCAGGCTTAGAAAAATTGGATGTATCTTTTCAGTATTTTTCCCCTTCTTTCGATAAAGTAAGGGACGCGTTCTTTTGTCAAAATCCAGTACGCATATGCAAAAATAAAATGAACGAATATTCTTTGAAATATGAGAAAATGTCGGATGAATGTTCATTTCCACCTTTTGATATATCGTTGCCAAGAAATTTAACAACCGTCATTCTAAGGGGTAATGGCCTAAGGACAGATATTCGTGACGTACAATTCTGTCCAAACAATAATCTTGCACACCTTGACATGTCGCAAAACCCAATTACAAGCTTCTCTGGTCCCTTTCATGGATTAAAAAAGTTAATATATTGGGATCTTTCTGAATGTCATTGTCCGTCTTTGACTGTATTCTTCTTTAATTACACAAAGTCATTGAAAGTTCTAAAACTGAATAAGAATCTTCTAGGGAAAATCCTGGAAAACGACACAGATGGTGAAACCTTTAAAAATCTTGTAAATCTTGAAGAGTTGGACTTGTCTGACAACCAAATACAAAACTTGCCAATAAAAATCTTCAAACACCTACGAAATATTCATAAAATTAACCTGAAATCAAACTCTATGACGCAATGGAATGTAAACGTACACCACATATGGAATCTAATAGAAATTGATCTTTCCGGGAACTTACTGCGACAGCTCAATGATAAGGCTATGCTCTCGTTTTCCGAGCTATTCAAACGGATTACCTCTATGACCATTTCTCTTGCATATAATCCTTTTGCTTGCACATGTGAATCAAAACATTTCATACAGTGGTCTTTTCAAAACCGCAAATACATTTCAGATTTTCAAAATATTACATGCACGCTTGATAATGGAACGAGCATCGGGCTTCAAAGAGCTGTGGGATATCTTGAAGTGTATTGCACAAATTATCAAATAGTGACATTCCTTATATCCTCCCTTATAATTTTCTTTGTTCTAATAACAATCTCCGGTTTGGTTTACCGTTACCGATGGAAACTGCGCTATATATATTACATGACAAGAAACAAATACCGGTTATCAAGTCCATTGCAGAACGACACCTTTATATTTGATGCCTTCATATCGTATGCTGAAGAGGACGGCGACTTTGCTGTGAACGAGTCAATTGTCCAGCTAGAGGATTTAAGAGGCTTGCAGCTGTGCCTCAGTAAAAGGGATTTTCGACCAGGTACCGAAATCGCTGCCAATATCACCGAGGCCATTACCAAAAGCCGGAAAACAATAATAGTTCTGTCAGACAATTTCCTTAATTCTTACTGGTGCATGTTTGAATTCAATATGGCGCGCATGGAGAGTATATACACACGGAGTGGTAAAGATGTTCTGTTTCTCATTATGTATCGGCACGTTTCTACTAAAACGTTGCCTTTATCAATGTTGGCTTTGGTAGATAGTAGATCCTATATTGAATATCCTGATGATCCCCAAGGAAACATTGTTTTCTGGGATAAAATAGCAGAAACTTGTTCCAGGCCATCGTAAATGCTACGTCAAGATGCATTGCTTGTACCTGAGCAAAAAAGCAGTTGTAATTTTAGATCTTCTGGTGAAAGAGTAGGAGTAGAAGAGCACATTAAGAATTCATAGTCTCTTTGTATCCATCATTTGAAGGTTCTAGATCGTGTTGCATAGACTGTGAACATGTTCTTTAGACGAGCATATGGCTACTTAGATTTTCTGTATGTTTTTTTTTATAGTATAGTGAATACAGGATATTGTTGCTCTTCATTCTTGTATGCATAAACATTGAACATATTTTCATATTACCAATATCGAGGGTATTCGTGATTTAACTTCAGTCAAAATGCACAAATTCAAACGTAAAAAGATTGTTTATTTTTATATAAAGTCTTGATAAAAAGCTGAGATGCTATAGCACTTTTATTTTGCCCTTATTTAATTAAGAATTTTGAGCAGAGGAGAAGTTTTACTCGTATACCAGCTCACAGACTTAATATTGAAAGGGGTCGATATATAGGCATTCCTACATACAATAGATGCAATAACAAAACAGTTGATGATGGAAACATTTTCTCTTTTCATGTAATCACATTAAGGAGGAAAGAAACGTCTTGTATGAATTAATAAAGAAATCCTGTACAAATTTTCATAACTTGGACAGTGATAATAAGTTAAATTGGCTGACTAATGAGTGTGCAGATATATAAAATTTTGAGAGCTGAAGTATGAAAAGTATTAGTAAACCTATGGAATTTTTTTTTTTTTTTTTTTTGTAAATTTAATGTGTCCCCCCATTCCCTTCTTAAATGTACAGAATCAGTCAGAATGAATTATTTGCCATATAATCGACTGTGAGGACATTAGTATCCAAGTTACCTTTTCTTTACATTAATTGTATGCTATATATTTACATTTGTAGGTACCATTTGTTTATATATATACATATATTTGTGTGTAAATTATTATTTTTGTATGCATGGATATGTGTAACAATAAGTGTATGTTTATAATATATTCTATACATACATATATTTGTATATAAATCATTATTTTTGTATGCATGGATTTGTGTAACAGTAAGTGTATGTTTGTGTATGTGGGTATGCATATGTCAAATATCTGAACTAACTCCAAGAGATTAGTTTGCATTAAGTTTATAATTATATGCTAAGTACTTATTAATTGAAATTACTATTTCTGTTAATACTTAAATGATTTTTTTTTGGACTAGCTTAGTCAGGTTTGCCACCTGTGTAGTCATTTGTCAAGATGCACTTTTTATCCCTATTACACAAGAAGTGTTTTCTTTTATTTAATACACTTTTGATCCAGTGTAAATATCAAAGAAACTTAATCACTAGTCAAGTTACAAACTTTTACTTGTGTTGGGATTTTTTTAAAAGATGATTTTAAATTGGAAGCAAAAAATTGTAAATGAATTTTCATATATTTTTGCCCTTGAATCTTTTTTACATCGACGAAGAATTATATAAATCATTTTATTTTTACGTTTGAGAGAGGGGCTGTGTGTGAATGCTTCGGGGGCTAGCAGTCTACCTGTGTTCATTTGTCTCCTAATCCCCACAGGAAGTAAATACACTTATTATCAAAGAAATCAAACTTTTACTTGTGTTGGGATTTTAAAATGATTTTAAATTGGAAATAAAAAATTGTTAATAATTTTTCATCTCAATGATTAAAATTATTTTATTTGAATGTGTGTCAAAACATCCCCAAATAAATAATTATTATTTAAAGTATTTGTTGGGCTTTCAAAAAAGTTATTGTACCAGTTTTGATGTATTACTCGGTATCATGAAGAATATTACAGTGTATTAAACTTTGAACAAATACTTAAAGGTATGCATATATATTACCGAGCAAAAAAATTCATGGTAATACATGTACAGCTTCTTTATACCATAACGGTAATATCAAAGGAACAAAAGTTAATTTGAAGGTCAACACGAGTGCCAAACAAGGTGTACAAGGTATACACAGGGAATCGTCAGTAGATGTCAATCAAGTTCTAGCACCCAGTGATAGACAGTGGAACACAAACCAGATATATCTGACGACGGTGCCTTTAATGTCAATATAATTATGTATATGAAAAAATTATTTCTTTTTATCATTGATGTGAAGAATGTTATTTATGTATGTTTAATGCAAATAATCTAAGATTTTTTTAACATTTAATTTATGATTTTTTTTTCTTTACAATTATTTGTTATATAGTATATCTTGTAGCAATACTACAGAGTCATTCTTTCAAGTTTCAATTAATCTTTTTTTTCAAACTTCTTGTACAATTTATCTTTTCCTTGGAAAATACAAGCATTTATAGCATATTTTGGATCGAGTTTTTTGGCAAATTTAAAGCTGAAAATGAATAAATTTTAATGCTATATTTGTTTTAGTATATTCAAAGAAAGATAATCCTGCATTTAAATAGAATATTATTTTTAGATTTGTTCTGCATTATATGTATCTCTTAATGATTTTCCTCAGATGAGAATGATAAATTACTTTTTACCTTAACATGATTTTGTGTCAAAGACCCATGTACATAAATGTATTCATATGCTACTTAAAAAATCTAATAAAAACAACCGTAAAGGAAATATATGGAACATTTTGCACTATTTTTTAATACTATGATTGATATTTCATCTCCTGCACTTATGTAAAATTTAATTACTATCTCTTAATAAAACTTATTTTAAAGAGTGTTAATATATTTTTTAGATTGTTCCCCTATTGTGTGCCCTCAATTTTCGTGACCTAGTTGATATGCTTTAAAAAATCATAATAAAATCTGCACTATATATCATGTATGAATATATTTATTTGATTAATCGGGATTCACTCCTAATCAAATGAGGATTTCAATGTATTATTCTCTTAGTTTTTTGTGTAAGACCAGAAGTTCCTGCCCTAGCCCTAACTTTAACTTAAGGACCAAAATTTAGACACATTGAAACAAAACTTTTCACTCCATTGGAATATACTAGTACTCAATTCATGCCATTTACTTTTTTTGTTCTCTGTCTGTCTGAAGTCCTTTGGCTACGATTTGAAAATAATTCAAAGTTACACTAAGTTCAAAAGGATATCTGAATAATAGTTACACTGCAATTATTAAGAAGTAGATTCTCAACTACATGTATATCTCCCCAAACGTTAGCTCAAGGGCGTGGGTTTGAACAAATCTAAACTTCAAGGAAATGGGAATGTCTGCATTTTTAAAGGATTTTCACAAAATTCAGCTTTTATTAGTAAAATTATTCTACATAAAAATATGATCCCATCAGAGTGTCATGTTCGAAATTTTGATTTTATCGGGTGAAAGTAAACACAAAATTTACAACCATCCGGTAAATTAAGAATTTACAACATATCATTAGTCTTAGAAGCAAATTTTGATTCATGCAACCTGAATCTATACTGTTGTGATGTTTTCATTTTTTTTTTTTTTGGTAAACCTTTGTAAAATTAATTTTGTTCGATTGTGCTTCGGATTGATTCATCAGAAATTAATTTTTTAAATTACCGATCCGATTTCAACTTTATTAACTATTAACTGTACTGGTAGTCGAAAAAACATTGAACATAATGCAATTTACAAAAACTTCCTCTCTCGTGGACATCAAACAAGCAGTCGAGTTGTAGTTATAATTAATTCAGCAATTATCCATTTTGTTCAACTAAGAATTCTATTTTTGAAAGATTTTTTCCGTTAGAAAATGTTTTACCCCCTATTTTAGTCCTTGTGCGTACCCTCCCCCCTCCCCTCCATATTGACTAAAAGATATTTTAATTTTTAATCTTTAAAAAAGCCTAAATTTAAGCCACTTCGAAGGACATCTCAAAATCCATTTTTTTATACCCCCGCTTGAAAAGTGGAAGGATATATAGTAATCGTTATGTCCTCTCATACCACTGAAGGAAATTTAATGAAACCACTTAATGATTTTTAATTACATATTGCCATTGTGCATCTCCTTTTTTACTTTTTGATCTGACATATATTTTTGATTTTCCAGACCAAAACATGGATACTGCCATTATATTCATATAGGAGGCAGGGGGTATCATCTAGTGAGCTCATTGCTCACAGTACCTCTTGTTTTTTTTTTTTTTTTTTTTTTTTTTTTTATCATAATTCTCTACTATATAGTATTCTGTTATATTTGCAGATCCACGTGACTATATAGTTACATATTTGCTACAAAATAACAGAATGCAAGCATTGCATTTTTACTTGATTTACAACAACAGTTTAGAGACCAATGTTAACCATATACATTTGTGGTCTGCACTATGACCTTGGGGGTCATTATTTGAACAAATTTGAATGTACGCGAACCTAGGATGCATTACATATATTTCAACTTTTCTGTCCTTGTGGTTTTTGAAAAGAAGTTTTTAAATTATCCCCACCCAACTGTCACTATTTCGTAATTTTCTCCCCTTACAAAAGTTTGTGGTCCTTCATTTGAACAAATCTGAATCCCTTCTACCGGCCCAAGAATACGCTGTGCCAAGTTAAGGAGTCTAGGGGGTCAACAAATTAACCACCAGAATTAACTTAATTTTTTAGATATGATATCTTAAGCTGTCAACTATCATTTGGCAAAGAAAAATTTCATACATTTTAGTTTTAAAATTTGGACATTTTTGTATATATTTCTATGGAGCTCTTCTTTTAAAGGATTAAGTTGAAATTGACCTTGTACGTGTCTCTGTAGAAAATGTAAATGTGTCAATACGACAACAACGCCATTGACGACAACGTTAGTCAACGGACAACTTTCGATCAGAAAAGTCTACTAAAAAGATCTTTCTCATACGTTTATGAAATCCATGCCACCAGGTCCAGAACTCAGGCCCCAAAGGTTGATCAAATGTTTATAATTTTGCTAGCTCTCCGAAAAAAAATATATTGATAGACCGGAGAGCTACAGTGCCACCTATTGAAAAAACTGTATATTTATTGCGCACAAAAAGTGCACTCGGTTCTTGAAAATTCTTCCCAATTCTTACCTCAATTGCAAAAAAGGAAAGATTTCAAAAAATTCCTTTATCCTCAATCAAGTACTCTCGTAGTTGACATCTGAACGAAGCATATTGGACCGAATTATCTTTGAAACCAAAATGGCAGTATAAATAAGCGAAATGTTCGATGATAACAATATCAGGGTCAGGAGGACTATTAACAACAATTATGAGGAATGCTTGGTTGTGGAAACAGCGAAAGAATATGTTAGGAACACACGGTTAGTAATATGTTGAGATTACAGTTTTAAAAACATGGAGAAATAAATCGAGAACCGAGCGCACTTTTTTGTGCGCAATAAATATACATTTTTTTCAATGGGTGGCACTGTAGCTCTCCGGTCTATCAATATATTTTTTTTTCGGAGAGCTACAGATCTGCAGCTATAATTTTGCCAGCTTGGTCATAGTTTTTTAAGAAATTAGAAACTGATGAAAGGAACTAACTCTTCAATTCTTTTCCCAAGAATGTATTTTTGTTTTATATTTTTACAAATAGTCACAGATTTTATTTAAGAAAGAACAATATGTGTTTGTGAAACACTTATGCTCCCGTTTCACAGCTTTTGGTGATCATGAAGGTAAAAGTTTTTCAAATACAGGCAAACTCCAATGTTAACTGAAAAATGTTGTTTTCGAAAGAAAAGACTTGTCTCAATGAATAAACTTTCAAATAGGAAGGGTCGCCCGCGTGGCGCAGTGGCTAGAGCGTCTGCTCTAGAGTTGAGAAGTAAGCAGTCAATCCTTACGTCGCGGGTTTGAATCCAACTGTGGGACGTGGAGACCGGTCCTTCGGATGAGACCGTATTAACCGAGGCCCCGTTTCGCAGTAGGTGCTGGCATGAAAAAAATCCCTTACTGCTCAAAGGCCCTAAGTGCCGAGCATAGGACAAAATTTGTAGCCCTCCACCGGCAAGTGGTGGCGTCTCCATATGAGTGAAAAATTCTCGAGAGGGACGTTAAACAACATACAATCAATCAAATAAGAAGGCCAAGGCACTAAACATAAACAAGAGGCCCATGGGCCACATCGCTCACCTGAGTCACTTGGGTGATGCAGATCTTTACCAGATTCCCCCTCTTGCTATACCTATCATGCCCAACAACCCCCTTCCCTTTTTTATTTTAAAACTTTAGAATCTACACTACTGAAGGA